CCGAAATCAGCACAAAAAAGGGGAAATTATCTGAAAAACAAAAAAAGTCAGAAATGAGCCAAAATCAGCTGAAAAGTAGCTTAAAAAAAGCTGATAAAAAGCTTAAATTACCAGAAGGAAGTGGAGAGAGCACATTTTTGAAGAATTAGGCTGAAAAAAGTTGAAAAAAGCTTAAAAAATGTGGAATATGCTGAAAAAGCTGAAATTATCATGAAAACAGCTATATATTAGCTTCAATAGTAGAAAAAACGGTAACTTGCACAAATCAGCTAAAATGCGCACAACAAGCTGAAATTAGCTGAACAAAGTTGGAAGAAGCACAAAAACGTTCAGTTAGCTGAAAGAATCTGAAATGAGCACAAAACAGCTGAAAAAAACCAGCCGAAATTAGCTGAAAATCGTTTAAAATTGCACAAGGAAGCTGAAAGAAGCTGAACCAGAACAAAAAGTGAAAGGAGCAGTAACAGGTTGTAAACTGGGGTCCACCCCCAGAAATTTCTAAATAAAGTAGATGTGATTTCCTGCATTTTAGTGTATTTTAATGGGTTGTTAAACAGCTTGTAAAAATATAACTAAATAATAAATTGCGGGCAACCAAGCACCGGTTCACGGACCCCCAGGGGTCCGGGGACCACAGTTTGAGAACCACTGCTTTATAGGACTTTGTCCTGACAATAACAGGTTTATGTACAGGCTGACAAAAATGAAGCACTGCTACCAAATTTGCATTTGTCAGCATTTTATCTAGTGACATATCTATAGTGGTCCTTTACAACAAAGAACAAGATCCAGCTGTTTATGACTTATCCAAGGTTTTTCTACTAGTCCTCACAAACAATAGGTTTGAGCTACACAGTGTTACTTAGTAACTGGATGCAACAACACACTTAATTGGAAAATTGAAAGCCACATTATGCAAATTCTACTGATTTGTGAATGCAGAACCACACATCTGGCTGAGGAACTCCAGGAAACAGTATCTGGATGAAAACTAGCAAGACCACATGGTACAACGTTACAAAAACCAGTATGGCAAAAAAACCTAATTTTTCTGCTGTTCTGAAAACAAACTGGATCCTGATGTTTGTGCATCTTTACACCCATATTACTTCTCCTGTTCAAAAGAAAGACTTTACTGAACAAACATCAAGTCCTCCCTTCATCCTCAGCTCTGTTGCCTGTGAGGTCTTGTCATAATTTAAAAAAAAACAGAAGGAACCGTTTGAAAGATTTGTGTAAAATAGGATAAAGACAATCAAAATATTCTTCCCAAAAAAGACAAATCACACTCAGACATGACAAGAACAGCTGAAGTTAAAGCTTTAATTAAAAGAAGCTGACAAACAGGCTGGCATGAGGCTCATTGTTTTGTCTTCCAGTCCTAAAATATAACTGGATATGTGACCGGGCGCAGACTATGAATTTATTATGAATGCTGGATGGACAGTCTACAGGTTTTATCTGCAGGAAGCAAACTATTTACAACTCTCCTTGCTGCATCTACGTCAATGTTTAGATCGTCAGAACTGTTCGTGCAGCTCACACTGTCCATGTCTGCCAGCTGCTGAATCAATATTTCATCAGAAAAGTTGGTTTAGGCATTCGCAGCAGGTCAACACATCTAGACTGTAAAAAAAACACACCAACACTTTCTAAATGGATATTTGAACCCGAATAATACATTTGCAATCATTACCATAAACTGAATTAAAAACGTGCAATTTCTCTCAAAATGTTGATATATTAGTAACGCACTCGACCGCTGTTCGTACACTTGGTAAAAACATGTATTTTATTCACTTTGCACTTTTGTGACTCTTTAGACCTTCTCATTTGATTTAGAGGATTTAATGATTTAAATAGAAATACTAAATAAAAGTCTATGTTGCTTAGAGACAAGTTCCAGGGGCGATTCTAGAGTCTGACATTTAGGGGTGCTTAGCCCCCCAGTACTGACACTAGCTATGTTTACATGCGCAGAATTCTCTGACCGGATTGAAATGTGTTCTGATTGAATAATTCAAACGTATTGTTTACATGGGCACAATCTGTTCATGATGAGCGTTTACATGCAGCGGGCTTTGTTCTGAACAGCAGTACTGACATGCGCAGTGTGGTAAACTCTCCTTAAAAAAAACACCGAAGAAGAAGTTCTACTTCCGGGTGAACGTAAACAAACCTGAGCACCCAAAATGGACCCGCGACAGGTTTTAATGATGTTGGAGACGTTATTGCACTCCCTGACTGAGCTACAGGTAATAGAAATAATTTTGAGCTCTTTAAAAGTTTCTAGTAGAAATGTTGTGTCGCTCACCGACCAGTTTTACTTCCCTGACATGCTAATATTATTAGCGTTAGCCAGGCGGAAATGGCAAAGTCGCACATGCGCAGTCAGGTCAGTTTTTCACCATCAGATAAAAACGAACAGATCAAGCGTTTACATGCGCACCGATCAGGTTTCGGATCGGCGTAAACCACCCGTTTCGTTCTGATCAGAAATTATAACGGATCGCGCCGAATACACAAAAAATAACCCGAACGGAGCGTTTACATGACACACTTTTATTCCGACCGGCCATTTGATCCGGTTACTTATGTCCATGTAAACATACCCAATGGCTGTTGGCTTGAACAACATGGTGGCCATTGGCATCAGACGCATTCATAATGTGGGGGGACAGACTGGTGGAGGGTCCTCCTCCAGAAAACTTTGAATAAAGTAGATGCCATTTCCTGCATTCTGGTGTATTTTAATGGATTGTTAAACATCTACATTTACCTCCATAAGTAAACACTTGATTCAACAAGTACTTTAGAGAGCACGGCACAACAAGATGTAGCGCTAAGCTAGCGGCGTGCAATACAGACGCGTTAGCTAAGATGCTACAGACGTAGCGCTCTGCTTTATATTTCACAACTTAATAAACACTTTATACTAAATTACCTTAGTGTTAACTGATCATAACAAATAAAAACTAAACTTATGCAACCAGAAGTTGCAACATATATCTACATACTATCTTATCTTAAAACACATAAAACAAAACACAACTAGCTTTAAGCATTAACTTTTAATTTAACCATTAAGCATTTGATGTAATTGTGACAAAAATGGAGGATTTACCTGCAGTTACCTTTGTACAGATGAACATGTGGCACTTCCTGTTTATCACTGTTGTGTTCAGCTGCTCATGAGGTCGGCTGCAGGGCTTTATCATCTTTAACATTTTTCCAGACTCAGTTTAGGTTTTGGAAATGGAATAAATTGTATTCCACCTTCTGAAGTAGGGCTATTCAACTAAACTGCTCAGGGGGCCACAGTTACTGAGACCCAGCAGCTCAGGGGCCGGACATAAAGCAATTAATGTCATTATGTAAATAAACCAAGTATTACAATGATCTGTTACTTTTTAAATTAGTTTATTTTGTTGCATAGAATCAAAAATGCAATAAACAGAACCCCAAATCCAGAACTGGCAAAAAAAAAAAAAAAAATATTATTTTTCAGGGGTGCTGAAAACAATTTAGGGGTGTTTGAGCACCCCCCAAAGAGGCTAAAATCGCTGCGGACAAGTACTATGACAGGATCCAACAATTTCCCCAAACATCTTGAGAAGCCCGTTAGCTTTTTCCCGTAATAAGGCAGGTGAAAGCAACTGTGACCCTATGTTATAAATGCCTTCTTTTTAGCCTGAGCGTCATGCAGTTTCTTCAAAACTCTTCCAAGTTTGAGCCCGAGTAGTTTTTGTGTGCGTTTGGTTAATGATTCCCTCGACTGTGCTCCTCAACCACCAGGCAGAGGAAGCTGTCGGTAGTTCTCGGGAGAGGAGAAGTAGGTTAAACGTTTACAGTGCTGTTAATTGAGTCCAGTTGCTGAGGGCCTGGGAGAAGCTCCATGATTGCACAAAAACGCACACAAGAGGGGGGAGGCACAGGCAGAGAAAACACCGACAAACGCACAACGCCGTGAAGAAACGCTGATTTCTTTGGAGCTGCGAACGCCCCGGACGCATCGACAGCCCTCAAATTAAGCAGCTCCGAGACAGATGAATCAAATGCGTTTCCATTACGGGGCAAATATTCCATCTACCCCCAGTCATAACGACACCATATAGCAGCATTACGGGGAAATATCAAATTAGGCTGTTTCATTTGGAGGACTGTTGTGCATTGCAAACAGCTTTGGAGATCAATTGAGCTGCTAGGTAATGAGCGGCAGCGGCCCGCTCTAATATACTCAGTAATGTTCTTTTGATTGCTTTGGTTAATCTTGCTCTGCCATGCAGTGGATAGGATTGGGGGGAGGGGGCTGGTAGTCATCCCTAGTCCCTCTGCTGAAGCACAGGTTGGAGGAATAAAATAAAAAATGGAGAGCGGTGTTAAGAACAAAAAGCAATATAAATCCAACTATTACATCTGGGTAATTCTTGTTCATGTTTTATGCCAATATGAATTCATTAGACTCCAGAAGATGCTGCTTCTGTGTTGAAGGAATTTCACTCGGCTTGGTGAAAAATAAGAAGCCCCAGATGAATAGAGCGTGATGCACGAGCTTCAGATGAAGTGTTGCTCATGTGTTTTGATGCTGAAGTGGATGGAATCGGGCACGATGTACCACTCTGACTTCTGAAAGTAAATCTTCTCGCCCTCAGAGAGGCGAGAGCCACTTCGCCACTCCACAACACTTACAGCTGTGGCCATTTAGTATTCTCCAGCTCTGCTCCGGTCCTCTGCACCCCTTGCTCACCTAGAAAATGCTAACAAACCTGTCTGATCACTTTTGCAATATGCTGCACCGCACTACTGCATGCCACACCATCTGCCACATTTTGCTGTGCAGAGTGAATATTTATCCGCTCATATCTGCGTTGCTTAGTATTCAGCTACTTTTGCAGAGCTGCCCACACTCAGGATGGCAGTCAAGTGTGGAGGTTAGAGGAGCTACAGGTTTGGTTTCCTGTTTGGGGACGGGGTGTTCGTAGGATTTGCATGACTCTTACCTCTCCACGTGGTCCAGGTTTCCTGACACGCCCAGTCCTGCAATGGTGTACAGTTTTCCATCGTATACCAGGCTGTTGTGTCTGCAGCGAGCCACGGTCATCCGGGACACCAAATTCCAGTTGTCCAATAGGGACATATAGCACCACACGTCGGCCACCATCACACCTGACTCAGTGCCACCTGTGACGGGTAAAAATAAGGGTTAGGTAGAGGAAATATAAATACTGAAGGCACTTTAAATGTTCTGAAGAACTCAGAACCGGTGCACTAAAGCTCTGTTGTGTTGATGCTGCTGTGAAAAAAAAAAAGGTTCTGGTTGGACAATTGATGTCTAAAATTGGGGGTGAAGGACTGAATGTTAATTGTTGGTTACCGTATACCACCACTGCTCCCTGTATTCACTGGTTAACTGGTCATCATTAACTTCACGCAGACTCTCTCACTGGTATATTTTCATCTTTAAATCACTTCTTGGTCTGTTGCCTTCATACATCTCCTCCTACATGTCTCTGCATGAGTGCAGCTACAGCGTGCGCTCTCAGGACATTATTACCTGCAGTGTCCCCTCAGTGCAGACTGAAATAGGCAAAAGGGCCTTCTCCTACTCCACTCCCGTTTCCTGGAATATCTTAGAAAAAGATTTGAAGCTCTTGACCTCTCTAAGTGGCTTCAAACATCTGCTAAGTTCCTGGGAAAAACCAATGCAGACATGTTCTTGTTTTTAGTATTCTACATCAACTTACAACCTAGCTGTTTTTTTTGTTGTTACATTTTCTTTTAAATACCATTTATTTCCACTTGTTATTCTCAGTTTGTATCTTTTATGATGGTCTATCGTTGTCTTTGTTGTCATCACTCTTTGTTAAAATAGGTCTCTCTTGTAAATGAGTCTCTGAGGCTCATTGGGATTAATCTGTATAAATAAAGATTGAATGAAAAAGATCCCTTAAGCAATAAGCCATTTTGGTCATTACCATCTCAGGTGTGATTTGGGGTACTCCACCAGCAGTCACATGCCGAAGTGTCCCTGACAAAGACACTGTGGTGTCAAGGTTGTGTGCACACCAACTTTGGCCAAATTTTGAATCAGTCTCCTTATTTTAACGTGCCAGAAAGAGACGCATAAAAAACATTTTTTAACAGCTCTATATGTGATATCGAGGTCACACCTAATAGCTAATATTTAATGCATTACCTTATAAACTCTTATTTGAGTTGAATCAGCATCTTATTTTACAAAATAATGGCACGATTCACTGTCGTTTATTAAATCATCAACATTTTGAACCTGGACATTAATAAAAGCTTTATTTTGTTAACATTTTTGAAGCAATTAAATAAACTGTACTTATATAGCACCTTTCTATCTTATCAAGATACTCAAAGCACTTAACAATCTGTGCCCTCATTTACCCATTCATACAGCACTCTAAGATATTTCTACAAAGACTAGTCAGAGCTTTATTACATTTATACACTGGTACACTGGTGGGGCACACATGGGAGGTGATGAGGGGTTCAGTGTCTTGCCCAGGGGCACATGGCATGTGACTGCTGGTGGAATCAAACCCCCAACTCTTGCATTGGAGGACAACTGCTCTAACCACTCAGCCACAACCGCCCCACAATTAACCAGGAAGGCCCAATTTGCCAAGTTAACCTTTCTCATCTATCCTTTGAGAAGCTACATTATAGAACAGAATAGTTACAGATAGTAGAAAATATGCTGCAGGTACATAACATGTACATTTTTTGTCCACCAATGAGAAACATGGATAAAAGTGACAAACATTTGTTTGCTGCTAAGTTGACGACTCAACCAAGCCAAGAAACCCCCGCTTGTTTTAGCTCTCTACAAATCAGGCCTTTTGGCTGCGTGGCCTGACTTGTGACACCAGCCGTGGTTCAGTGACCCCGTGTGGCTCCAGAGGAAGGTTACGGACCAGACAGAGCCTGTTGATTGGCTGGTTTGTACAGCCCTGATTTCCCCACTGGCTGTGGGACTCCCTGTAGACACATGCAGACCGGCTCCAAAGCCCAAACACAAATTTACATTTATATGAAAGAAGCGGGAGAGGAGACGAACACGCAGGACAAATCCTGTTGCAGTTCCACAGTGTGGTGTGAAGGTCTGAGTAGCGTGCATGATTTTTATTTTTTTTTTGCACAAATGGACTGTGGAGGGAGAAATTCAGTTCGCCTCTGAAGGAGTGACTTGAAGGTGTGACATAGAGGGTGCGCACAGTAAGGAAAAAATAAACCGAAGAAAACCGCAGTAAAACGTAAAGTCGAGTGCAGGAAGTAAAAAAGAAACCTTCAGAGAAAGCAAAGAAAATATACATTTGGCACTAAAAGCGTCTTAAGTTGTCTGCAAAGTTTGACTGGAGAAACCTTTCAGAGCAACATGTGGGTAAGTCTGCCGTCTCTTCAAAACTCTAAATGTTTCAGAAAGGTCACAAGAAGTGAGCAACGGACTGCGCAGGGTTCACGCTGCTGTATCACCCAGACAGCAGAGGAACAAGTGACTCAAATCCCAAAGTAAACAAGTGGTACATCAATATCCCCCGTCACTGAAGGTTTTGAATAGTGAATGTTTTTAGTTTTTGAGATGAACATTTTTCTGGACTGGAAATGAACAATGTATTCAAGTAAATGTTATTGTTTTTGGTGCAAGATATTCAACAGGTAGGTGTTACACTGTATACAAGAACAGAGGTAGCTTTTATTTTTTCTTGTCCGAGGCGGAGCAGAGTGATGGATCCCAGCAGCTAAGGGGTTCAGGGTTGGTTTATTTCTCATATGCAAAATTAACACAAGGTCAGCAATGTAATGAAATGCTGAGGACGAGAAGAACCGTCTTGACTCGCCAAAAAAAAACAACAACAAATACGAAAGCATGCAACAAAAATACAAAAACAAGGCGCCAAAAGTGAAAAAGAAATAAATCTACAGCAGCATGGTTCTATTGGCAGAGTGGTTCTGTTGGCAGTGAGGTTATCTTAGCAACATGGTCCAGTTAGCGCACCATGGTACTGTTAGCAGTGTGGTTAAGTTAGCGGCATGGTCTTGTTAGCAGCATTAGCAGGTCCCGCTAAAAGCTTGATACTAACGACAGCAGCAGCTGCTCTCCCAGACTGCCCTCCAGAACTGGGTCCGGAAGACGGAGAACGTCCAAGTTTTCCCTGCAGAACCGAATGGGTCAGTAGAGTTCGGTCCATGCAGGCAGATGGAGGATCAAGAAGACAGCCCCTATGCCATGCCATGCCCCCTTCCAGCCTTCCAGAGGCTGGAAGCGGGCCGGGAGCTGAACCACAATGTCAGGATGGTGCAGCAGCGACACAGAAAACTCCACGTGTGTCGCGGTCATACCCGTAGTGTGGGTGTTCAGTGTAGGTGCAAAAAAAGTTAACACAAAAACAGTAAAAAAAAAAGATTGAGTGGATGCAGAGCTCCCGTCAATGCTAGCATTCTGCAGTGCACGTGACGTCAGAGACGAGCAGCAGTTTTTTTTAAACAAGTTGGAGGCGCGAAAGGGAAACTTGACTGCATTCTACATGAAGTGCATTACAGCAGTCAAGTCACGGATTATCTTCTCTAGGTCAAGTCTAATCAACATGGACTTGAGTTTTGACATATTGTGCCCCTGAGTAATTTTAATAACTCATCCACCCTGAAAACAGATGGGTTCAAATAAACCACCAAAAGCTCAAAATTGAAATCATATTCATGTTCGTAACTAATGGCAGATAAACTTCTAACCACAACTATAGCTGTTCTGAAAGGTATAACTTTAATTTGAACTAAATTGTACTGCTCAGGTGAAAAATGAAATTGGACATGACTTCAGGCAGAGTTCCACATCTTTTAAATGTGACTAAAATGTGTACAAGTCTTTTTCTGTTGTTTTTATTTCACAATAAATAAATGACTCATAAAAACAAGACTCCATTAGGTTCATTCCTTAGAGGATTGATATTGCTTTCATTTAGGAAGAGTGCCATTTTCAGTGTCAATGTGTATCAGCAGGTACTTAGAAGAAGAAAATAATCTGACCAGATGGGAATATATCTGGACCAATATAGAGAGAACTAATCCCACCATGCAGCAGGTTGGGCCTTGCCAGAGCTAGTTAAGAGGACCAGAGTTCATCCGATATTAGCAAGACGTAAAGAGCCAGAAGACTGCAGCTATAACTTTCCCTAACTGCAGCACAACAGTGCTGCGACCTTTCATCCTCCTCCTGCTTTGGGCCATTAAAAGCCTGCGACAGAAAGCTTGCAGCAGCCCTGCGAGCGCGGACCATTTAGCTCACCTGACAGGTAGATGTTGTCTCCCGCCGAGATGACGCTGAAGAACTCACGGTCGTAGAAGGGCAGGCTGGCCAGCGGGTACCACTTACTGTTCTGGGGGTTAAAGCATGTGACCGCTGTCAAGGAGCGCTGGTTCATCCCAATGGCCTGACGCCCTCCCACCAGAACTATCACCTCTGCTACACCTGCAGGACAAATGGACGGAAAGAGCGAGGAGAGAAAGCAGGTCAGCAGGGAAGGTCTTCATCAGTAAATAAGAGTCAGAGTCGGTAAAAGAGACAGTAGCACACAGGCACAATGCTCTGGAGGACGAGGTCTGAAGTCCCTTTATTATTAGTGGTGCGAGATCTTGTGTTAAAAAATGATGACCTTAGAGATATTTTGGGGGTACGAACATACCTGCTCAATCTGTTACAGATATGTATCCCTTACTTGGCTGTATGTATTCTAGGTTACAGTACTAGCACAACATTTAGCTCAACAGCTTTCAAATGAATTAAGTTATTGCCATTTGTGTGCTGGATAAGATGGATCAGCTGTAGTAGCCATCTTAAACTGGATCAACTTCAAAAGTTAATCAGTAAATTTAAAGTTAATTACTTTCTGTGAAGTTCGTTACATTTTAATGACCATTTGAACAATCCTGAGATATTTTGCTAACAGACAAACAGGGTTGACTCCAACAGTTACCAACGAAGTTTCAAGCCAATATATTAGAAAATGTGTAGTGCCTGGAGTATATGGTGGTGATTATTCTCAGCTACTACCACTCCAAATATTAGCTGCACATATGTAAAGTTGGCAGAGTTACAACCATGTTTGTGTTTGGCAAGTTTGAGCAGCTGTGGCGGCCATCTTGAATTGGATTTGCTCTAAAAGTTAATCATAGATGTACATCCAGGGATTTATGTTTGAAAGTGAAAACAAAAACTATCCAGTGGTTCATAAAGGACAAAAACATGTGCACAGGCGAGAATAAAACCTTTCAAATATTTTTGCACCAACAGGCTACACAAACCAGGAGCCAGGGATAAAATGCTTACTGTTTGGAATTCAGCAGGCCTTGGCCGTCCCTGAATCAATAAACTTGTTGGAAAATGCTGAACAAAACACAGAGCAGTAAAGTTTCCTCTTTTTCACAGAAAACTACAGAGTAAATGAGAAAGTATAACTCAATTAGCAAGAATGATGTGGTTACTAGCTCTCTCTCACACATAATTCACTTGACCACAGTAAAACTTTCATCGTGTGTGTGTGTGGGGTGTGTGTGTGTGTCTCATGAGATAATCACCAAATCCATAGGTAAGTCAATTTATGTGCATCTATGTGCAATATTTGTTAAAGTGGACTCGTGTGATAAGGATCCTTCTGTTCTGAAATCTCAGTTCCGACCGACAGAAACTCACAAACGCAGCTGCTGGATAAAGACACCGGTGATTTGAAGCTCACACACACTCAGGTTGGCAGGCTGCCACATGTGTGTCCTCAGGTCCTCGCAGGCTCCAGTGAGCAGGCGAGGCGGTGGGACAAAAATGAGCCACATGTTTGTGAGCAGGCAGGCAGGCGAGCAGAGGGAGTGAGGATAAGGAGACGGGTACGGTGAGTGTTAAAAGAAGGAGGAATAAAAAAAAATTTAAAAAGAAATGAGAAAGGAGGGAAAGCTAATCTACATAAATTCCAAACTGAGTCTAGTTTCGGTTGCGTGGATCGATACTTTTCCCACAAACACGTCCTCCTGAGCAGACATATCCACTAGGGTTTTATTTAATGTTTCTTCTTTAGGTTTAAACAATCCCATTATTTCTTTCAAAGCTCGTAAACAGAAACCTGATTTTTGTTGTTACAAAAATAAGAAAGAACAGAAGAAGAAAAATATGCAAAAACTACAATGAGCTTGGCTGAAGCTGAGCAAACAGACCAGTGAGCACTGCCTCAGACATGTCCAGGACACACAGCTGAGACTTAGAGGACAGCTTAAAGGAACTTGGCTCTTTTCCTCTGCAGGATGTTAAGAAAGTACCACCATGCATCGGGTGGAAAGGGAACAGACGGCTGAAAGAGAAGACTGTGGCTGTCATGTGTACAAACAACAAAACATGGACGATGGACGCAGACTGATGCACACGCAATGATGCTACTCAAGATTTTGTCAAAATAACATTTTCACAGCTTAACATCCCATTCCAAACTAGAACCCCTGAATGGACCTTCAAGACATTCAGCAAATGATCTTTGAAGTTCATCTTTTAAATGGGGAGGGGGGTACGTTTTATGGGACAGCAGGAGCTGCAGCAGCTGTGCTTTGGCAAAAATAACTGGGAATAAAGACATTCATCGTCTTCTCACGTATGAGCCTTTAAACACATATTCACAATTCATATTTCTGTGCTTATTCAGATATTGTGTTGACTTCATTTCATTTCTGTAGTGCGCCCTCATCCAGTTCTTCCAAATCAACCTGCAAGGGAGCACAGCCATTTTTGACAATGACCCAATGGGGTCCTCCTTCCTGTCCTCTCAAACCCAGCCGGTCAAAGCAGATGGCTGCCTGTCCTGAGCCTGGTTCTGCTGGAGGTTTCTTCCTTTTAAAAGGGAGTTTTTTCCTTTCCACTGTTGCCACTGTGCTTGCTCAAGATGGGAGACTGTGACGAAATTAAGATTCAACTTGTCTGCTGGCTTCCTTAGATAGAGAACTTTACTAATTGGCTTTTTTATATATGTGAATGTTTCTGTAAAGTGCCCTGAGACAACTTTGTTGTGAATGGGCACAATATAAATAAACTGAATTGAATTGCATTGAATGGCAGTGTTAACGGATACAGAGTCCGGAAACTAGCCATTCATCAATTCATTTATGTTTGTATGATTTATTTTTGTATGTTCCCACACAATGATGAAATTAGTTCCCTGCATTTAACCCATCACACCTGAGATACACCCAGATGGAGCAGTGGGCAGCTATGTAAGCACCCAGGGAGCAATTAGGAATGTGTTGCTCAAGTACACCATGGCATGTGGGCATGGTGGGGAGTCGAACTGGGACTTTCTGGTCTCAGGTCAGCTGCCCTACCTCTACATCATGAGTGGGCTGATGCCCTTGCAGTATCTGCTGAAGTTACCACCCCTTTCAACCTGTATCCTGCTGATGTCAAGATTCAGGGCGACTTCTCTGCCCAACAGACCAGGTCACTACTAGCAGATCACGATGAGGGTCTTCTCCTCATTGGACATGTGCCCTTTAGACACGCCACTGCCAGCCCCCGGAAGGGGCTTCCTAAGATCGTCAACAACCAATACCTCATGGGGATTATAAGCCCTGGTACCTTGAAGCTCCTGCTGATGGGACAGGAGTTTGGGGAGAAGATCATTGCATCACATCTTTGATGAACCCATTTGGCGAAGATACAAAAGGTATTAAGGTACTGTAGCCTAACCAGGCTCTACACCTAACCTTATTCATTATCAGTACATGTGCAAACCTAACCCTAACTCAGTTCACACCTTAACGGTACTGTCTCACTTCGTTGTACCTTTTGGAGACTAGATGACAATAACTGTGGAAAAAAAAGGCATAATTTTAGTTGAGATCTCACTGAATTCTGAGCTTTTGCATCCAATTGGCTCTGTGATGGACTTGAGATGTCCAGGGTGTACCTTTTCTCTCGCACAGTGACTGCTGGGCATGGGCACCATCAACCCCCCGCAACCCAGACAGGAAAAAGCAGATAAAGATAATGGATTGATGGATGGATGAATGAATGCATTTATTTGACCAGCAAGCCATGCAACCAAGTTTTCTTTGCTAACAGTTTTTGAAAATGATGGTCTATTTCCTGTTAACGACTTGCAGAACTGTATTCTTGACCGCACATTATTTCATTTCTCATCTCCGCTCACATCATCCTTACCACAGCACACTTTGTACCAAACTTGGCAGCCACCTCTACATTTATGATTTAATCTACTGGAGCACACCTTTGAAATGAAAAAAGGCAGCGTTAGATCCATTTTTAAAAATTATTATTTATCATTGCTTTTTCTTCACTGGGGATCGAACCTGGGACTTTCAGGTCCCGAGACAGCTGCCCTGCCTCTACACCATCTCAGCCTCCAAAGACTGCAAGTCTCTGCAACTGACCCAAGGAAACTGAGAACCCCCCACTAAACATTTTGGAGACTCCCTCATGAATTTTGTTCACTAACTAGTCATGACCTAGTGAGATATTACCTTTAACTCTAAAGCAGATAAGACGATCCACAGCATTAGGACCGGGCTTTGATCTCCATAAAGCATTCTGGCTCTGACAAGATTATGCTAGAAAAGGTCCACAAAAGCAACAAAAAACAGATATATACACACACACACACACACACACACACCAATAATTCAGTCCTCATTGTTCTCCCAGGTGGTGTTTGCTGCTGCACAATTTTTTTTTACTTTATTGGATTTTAAAAGTATTATTTCTTTTTCTGAGCAGATTATTATTTTTTTTATCTCCTTTCATCTCACTTCCTTCCATCAGTTTAGTTGTTTTACGTTTTTGATCTCGACAACGGAAATTGGCAGTTTTCTTTCTCTGCGTCGGAGCCAAGAGGGGGATTTATTTACTTTGTTCCTGTCTGAACATCCATCAGTCAAGTTTATACCGTTTAATCATTCATACAGGTTATATTATCTAAGAACTCAACATCTCCCGATGCCACACGTTTGTTTTTCAGTTCCTGAAACGTGAAAAAAGATGCTTTTGAAATAAACTGCAAAACACTCCTTTTCATTGTTTGCTTAATCCCCACTGCATCTAATTAGGCCAACTTAAGCAATTCACACACGCTGCCTCGACATGCTGCTCTGTTCGTGCCCATGCACACGCAGGTGTTTATTATCACCTTGTGCACACGTGCGTGAATGTACCCTGCGCTTTCCACATGACCGGACACGTCAGAGGATCCACATCTGGGTTTCTTTGGCTGCTGCGTGGCTCTGACCCCTGCAGCTCTGGAAACGTTCGCAGGCTAACACAAACCAACAGCGGGCTGTCAGAATGCAGTGGAACACGGGAGGGGCACTGCTGACGGAGAGCCCCGGTGTCGGATCAGATGGCTGAGTGACTGTGTGTGTGTGTGTGTTTCTGAGACAACAAGGCCTCACAGGGACGGCTGTCAGTCAGCGTGAGGTTTGATG